CTCCACCAAATGAGGCTGATGGACCGCTGCAAGCTCTCTTCAACATCTCCAGGGGAGCTTTGAGGAACCTTTTCTCCAGGATCTCTCTGGCTCCAGACCACTGTTCCCTTTTACAAATCCACAGAAGCAGTAGGTCTAACCCAAAGAACCCTAACGAAAAACCCAGTGAAATACAGTGCCTTGAAAAAGTATTCATACTCTTTAAAATTTTCCACAATTTTGTCATGTTACAACCTTCTTCTTCTGAGGATGAGGATGAAGAAGAAGAAGAAGAAGTAGGAAGAAAATAAGAAGAATTCCAAGCCGGCAAAAAGTGTATCTGCAGAGCTCCGCTAAGTGTATCTGCAAGCTCCGCTATTTCTGACAGTTTCTCTGACATTCACTCCATACAGCGTTTGAAACATTGTATCTATTTGTTATACATAAATGGAAACAAATAGATACAATGTTTCAACCGCTGTATTGAGTGAATGTCAGAGAACTGTCAGAAATAAGAGGAGTGCTATGTGCAGATACACTTTTTGCCGGCTTGAATCCTTCTTATTTTCATCCTACTTCTTCTTCTTCTTCTTCTTCATCCTCAACCTCTTCTTCTTCTTCTGAGGATGAGGATGAAGAAGAAGAAGAAGAAGAAGCGGTTGAAACATTGTATCTATTTGTTTACATAAATGGAAACAAATAGATACAATGTTTCAACCGCTGTATGGAGTGAATGTCAGAGAACTGTCAGAAATAGAGGAGCTCTGCAGATACACTTTTTGCCGGCTTGGAATTCTTCTTATTTTCATCCTACTTCTTCTTCTTCTTCTTCATCCTCATCCTCTTCTTCTTCTGAGGATGAGGATGAAGAAGAAGAAGAAGTAGTAGGATGAAAATAAGAAGAATTCCAAACCGGCAAAAAGTGTATCTGCAGAGCTCCTCTATTTCTGACAGTTCTCTGACAATTCACATTTACAGCGGTTGAAACATTGTATCTATTTGTTTCCATAAATGGAAACAAATAGATACAATGTTTCAACCGCTGAGCTCTGCAGATACACTTAGCGGAGCTCGAATGAAAAGATTCTTCTTCTTCTTCTTCTTTTCATTCTTCTTTTCATTCTTCTTCTTCTTTTCATTCTTCTTCTTCTTCTTTCATTCTTCTTTTCATTCTTCTTCTTCTTCTTTTCATTCTTCTTCTTCTTCTTTTCATTCTTCTTTTCATTCTTCTCATTCTTCTTTTCATTCTTCTCATTCTTCTTTTCATTCTTCTCATTCTTCTTTTCATTCTTCTCATTCTTCTTTTCATTCTTCTCATTCTTCTTTTCATTCTTCTTCTCATTCTTCTTTTCATTCTTCTTCTTCTTTTCATTCTTCTCATTCTTCTTTTCTTCTATCTATTTATTTCCGAATAAAAACATTTGTATCCTAAATGGAAACAAATAGATACAATGTTTCAACCGCTGTACATGTGAAGGAAATGTCAGAGAACTGTCAGAAATAGCGGAGCTCTCTGCAGGGACACTTTTGCCGGCTGCTCGGGAAAAATCCGATTCGCGCACCCGAAGTATGCAAATATTCGGATTTGACGCGAATCGAATTTTTCCTGAAATTCGAAACGAATTCCACTTCGCCTGGTTCGATTCGCTCATCTCTAGTTGTAACATGACAAAATGTGGAAAATTTCAAGGGGTATGAATACTTTTTCAAGGCACTGTAAGTTAACCCAGGCAGAACAACACCTAATTAGCTAGTTCTAACTCGCTTACACACAGGACATTAGCAAAGTAAATGCAATCCATTTAGTGTTTACATCTACTTTAAATTTGGCATATGGTGTAATTAGGCTTTAGTTCAATTGAAACCTTTGCAGTATATCCAGACTTCATCCCCCAAATATAACCTTTTCCTCTACTTTATAACTTACTAAAAGTTTCTGAGTCCATTTTTCTCAGTGAGCATAGAATGGGAAATCAACTCTTCTGGAAACACAGCATTCCAATGCTTCACATCTTTATGATCTGCTATTTTTTCTGAGCTTAACTAACCCATCATATGGAGCCATTGCTAGGAAAATCCACATTATACTACACATGTGAACACAATGTTTCCATCTGATTTCTCATATCATGTAGGGATATTTTCCTCTATCTAAACCCTTCTGAACAAATGTGTGGTCTAGTTCTAGAAGATGATATCAGACAGCTAATCAAAAGCAGGCCGCTCCAGTGGGGTGAGTTGCTTTTTAAACTGGTAGTAAATACTGGCACTCTATAAATAGGAGATAACAATCATAATGGACAGCTATATTGTTATGGGGGAAAGCATGCAGTACTGAATGTTCTGATGGTATCAATACTTATTAAGTTGCAGAGTAGTTGACACTATAACCCTTTATGAACGGGTTTTGCTAGCTAGGCCAACACAAAGTTAAAAGGCAGCAAGTATTTTGGTGGTGATTTAAGTGTGGATTTCCTAAAGTATAACTAAAGGCAATTTTTCTTTTAGAAGGATATAATGGTGAAGGGCAGAACCACTGTCAGGTTTTTATTGCAGTCTGTGTCCATGGTAGGGAGACTCCCTATCTCTGTTCTGTCCCACTTACTGTAGATGTTTGTCATACAAGTCCCTTCATTGTAGAACCACTTTGACACCCAAATCAGGAAGGGCCTTTGTGAGAATACCTTGGACAGGCACGATAAGAGAAGAGCCCACTAACTTGTTAGGGATCTTTCCTGAAAAAGCTGGGGCAGTAGAACCAGCAGCCTGTACGTGATTTCCCCTCTTAGTCTGATAATGTCTTCATTGACATCTCACCCTGCTTTACGGAGGTCATGTGCATTGCTTTCCCTGGACACAATACCTGAGGAACCAAGTTCAACAGTCTCTCATAAACAGTAGGTGAAACTCTAGGTGAGATTGTAGGCTTCTGCTGCTGTTTCCGATGTAGCACCCTCTAGCTTAGTTAGGTAGGATTTTTGTTAGCTAGAGGCTTGGTAGAAGCTTGGGATGAGATAGCCTGGCAGTGTGGTAGTGAGTTCACCTCAGGACAGGTTAGGAGGCTGTATAGGTTAGGGCTTCTGGAGCCCTCCCACTCTTCCAGAAACTGCTGGAAAATTCTGGAAGGGAGGTGGAGGAGGGCAGGAGGCTCAGATTTTCATGTTTAGGGGAATTTGGCCAATCCCCAGGCAGGAGGCTGGGCATGGTGGCTAAGGACAACCCTTACATGTGGCAGAGCCTGAGCAGTACGGGAGATGGGTGAAAGATGGATATTGGGAGAAGGCTGGAGTGCAAAGCCTGGGAGGAGTCCCCAGGGAGGGCATCCTACCCACAGGCAGGATACTGGAAAGGAGGACCTCCACTGTGCCAAGTCTCTTAGGGAGGACATTCTGTGCAGCTGGGAAAGAGCCAGCGAAAGGCCCAAAAGCAATAACCAACCCACCACGCGCCAAGGGATACCCTCAGTGCAGCTGGGTGAAGTGGAAGGTTTCATCTGGGGTCTGAGGAGGTACATCAAGGGGACTTCAGTGCTCCTTAAAAAAAAACAGTGCTATATTTTTGCCGATGCACATTTTTAATACAGTATTGTTGCTGAGAAGTTTGTCCTCAAGTGTACAATTCCATGGACAACCCATATCTCCCTAGACCCCATGTTCTTAACCCCTTAATAAAAACTAAAACCCAGCTCAAGGACAGTATTACTAATTCCAAGTGTGGAAATGTGGAAAATGCATGTTTCCTGGCTGTGCAGAGCTTAGAGGGACCCAATCAAATCCAGCGGCCCTCCAAGGGGTAGTGCTACACCTCTTTCCTCTAGGATTGGAGCTAACTGTTGAAGATAGGCACGCGGTTGGTTCCTTCACTGGGGTTATCTGAGGTTTCCCACTGGATTTGCGGGTAGAAGTTTCAGAAGGCACACTGTGCCTTGCAATCCTATGACAATGCAAACCTGGAGGCCACAACTTCAGAGAGGTCCCACCTGGGCATGGAAATGGGAAACAGTCTCTCACCAGTCGCAGGCTCATGGATTGTTCTAAAAATCTATCAGGCACTATCACGCATGAGCAGAAACAGAAGATGAACCGGATGTTTATGTCCAAGGAATCTTTGTAAACAGGACGAAAAATCCAAATGTTAAAAGTAGATTGGCTTAATGAGATAATGAAACCAGAATTCTGCAGATTATATTTTTAAGTATCACTATTTATGTATATAGGTCATGTAATAAACTATATTATACTCATTGCTGGTAATTGTTGTGTATATCGCTCGTTCTGGCCGGAAGGGTGTGGCTACACAGGTCACACGCACACTGCATCACTTCCACTTGTACGGAAGACGTCAACACTACGTATTGCCTGACGAACAATTTTTTTAGATTGGTTAATGTGGGCCACGATTTTGACCAACGAACAAACGCCTCTCGGTCGTCGGATGACCGATCGGTCAATTTTCTAAGCGTGTATTCCCACCTTTAGCACCACTCCTCTCTCCCTTTAAGGCTTTCTCCAGCTGCATGTGTTTCCAGGTCCTTTTCCTTCTTAACCACACTGTCTTCTGGGATTTGTAGTCTCACGCAGTCATTTCTGAACAGGGGTTTGCCTTCCGGTTAACTACATTCCTCGTCGATCCTTGTGCCCGTACCCTGGATGGACAGATAAGGGGCATGGCTTCAGTCTGCAACAGTGGAAGCACTTATTTGCCCTGCTACCTGAGCACTGTAATCCACTCAAGGTGTAGTGGACAGGCTTTTCTCCAGTGACTGCAACTTGTGACGGTGTCTAGCTCCCCAATTCCTGAATGGCAGCAAAGTCCCTTCACAGCAGGAAAGGGGGAAGAACTGCAACAGTGTGGGTGGCCTGTCAGTGGCCAGAGTTGTGCGGGTGCAGTGACAGCAGCAACGCAGCCTGGGCTTCATAACTGTTGCTGTATTTTGTAACATTTGTGGAATTTTTTAATTTAGAATTTAAAAAAATATTTGCATACAGCCAAATCCCAGTTCTCTACAATGTACTCATGTTTAACCTCCCTGGCGGTATTCCCGAGTGTAGCTCCGGGTAAAATTTCAGCACCACAAGAGGTAACCCCGAGCTACACTCGGGAATACCCTGCAGCGCTGCTCTAGGATCTCTTCTTCACTTACCTTCACTTACCTTGTCCTGCGCTCCCGCGATGTCCCTCCTGCAGTGTCCCCGGCAATGTCCTCCGGCCGATGCCAGCATCTGTCTTCTGGGTTCCGTTCCCTGCGACGTCAGGACATACGGGGGATGGAACGGCGGGAAATTTAAAAATGTGAAAAAGTGACATTCACTAAATACACTAAAATCACATAGTAAAACATTACTGTATCAAACCATTTCACATACATTGTGTCCCGAGTGCTTTGTCCTGTGCCCTGCCTGCATTTTTACTGTTCTTTCTGCCTTGAAACTGAGAAATGTCCATGGCGTCCAAAAAGCGTCCCTTTAGGTCAAAATCGGTTTTAGATCAGCTAGAGAACAGTGATAGTAAATTAGAACCACTTGCAGAATTGAGTGATAATGATTCGTGGGGGAAATTCATCATCAGACACGGAAAACGATTTTGCGACTTTGCTCGCGTTTCAAATTTTAACATTCCCGGGATGTTTACTAGACTCTTGTTCAGACAGATTTCAGTGAGTTATTCCTAAAAATTACAGGTCTACAATAAAAAAAAATACATATTTCCATGCAAAAAAATGTACCGCTTTGAGCACAGAAATACTGACATAATCATAATGCTAGGGAGGCTACATTTTCACAAGATAAATGCAGTCACCAATGGGTGTCTACTAGATTGTCATATACAAGCCAGAATGGTTATATAATGCTGATAACAAGGGCTCCTGTGTCTTCCCATCACATGCACTGTCTGGATTATGAATTCTCTGTACAGTGTCGGGTCTATCATATTCCAAGATGAATTATGATACTGGTAACAATGTGTTGATTCAGGAATTTACAACAATTGTGGATGCTATGTGCCACACAGAACCATGCAAGGTTACACTGTGCTTTATTTATGCCATTGAATGAAAAAACTCTTTTAACAGTCAAATAGGTTTGGAGCAACGATAATGCAAAAGTATAGAGTAAAATTTCATCTTAAAATGGAACACCAGCAAAAAAAATATTTTTATTTAGGTTTCGGAGTAGGAAAGAGTTAGAACATCTGTCAGGTTACATAGTTACAGAGTTAGTCCGGTTGAAAAAAAAAAAAGACACACGTCCATCTAGTTCAACCAATAAAAAGGGAAAAAAAATTTACACAATCCTATACCCACATTTGATTTTTTTTTTTTGCTAGGTGCCCTGTGTGGTCACTGGGACAGGACGTAATAGGAAGTTTAAATCTGAAACTTGGATAGGTTATCTGAAGTAAAGTTAGGCTATGGCAGTACTAAAAATGAATGCATATTGAGAATCTGCATAAATATGTGCCAAACCCCAGAGTTCTATGTAACATTGAAAAGTCCTTTGCGGTGTCCTGTTGTGAAGTGTTCACTTAATTTCTTTTCTGGGAACATAACAGGAAGAGTATAAAGAATATTCACCAGGACAAATAGCGAGCTGTAGTGTATAATGCTTTACTGTGCCCAGAAGGGAAGGTAAGGAGTGCTCCAAACTGCACCTGTACCACCACTACTTGAGTGGTCAGTGTTCTCTCAACTGGAAGTAGGTAGATGAGCAACAGGTGGGTCACTGGGGGGGTTTGGGGTAAGAGGAGGGTGATGCTAGGGCATAATGGTGTCAGGTTGAGTAGCAAAAGATAATGAAGGAAGAACCTGTGGCCATTTAGGCAAGAACAATGTAAGTCCTGGTGCTACTGGGGTAAGAAAGGATGGGTCTAGCCTATAAACAGTGTAGATATAGCCTATAAAACAGTACTTTTTTTTTTTTTATATTGGCTTGCATTTTACAGATCTCCTTACCTCCACAGATAGTGCCTAAAATGACCACATACAAACTTCTGTAAATGTAGACAATATCTGTCCTGAATGTAGAGTATATCTACACAAGGGGGCATAAAGGAATGAAGTGCTCAGATCTGTACGCTGCCAAAATATTGAATTGACCCCATGAGCATTTGATTTGTTGGACGTTGTGAATTTGGGATTCATTTTATAGCAAACCCATGCTGTATTGTACCTCTTCCAAGTAACACACACCTCCCCTATTACTTCTGTAGTGCCACCCCCAAGTGGGGGGGCGGTGAATTGTACTAGGTCCCTTCTGCCCTGCACCTGTAATGACCCAACCCTTTCCTGGACCTGAGAACACGACACACCTTGAAGGTCTTCATTTAACGGCAAGGCCCTTGAAAGGAGTGGGTTGATTAAAAAACAGTTTACGATATAGGCAACTTGTTCAGTGACACAATTCACAGGGTGTCACTGTTCATTCTGCACATCCACCTGGAAAGGCAGGTGCTAGTGAGCGATACTGGCTTGTAATTGCAGATTAATGACAATCCAACATAGCACAGCAATACGAATGGCATTTTCAATGGCAATACAGCCAACCTACCACCTAATACAGAAATACCGTGCCTAACAACTGGTCAGTGGAAATGTAGAGAGTCTGCTGGCGATGGGGCCCTTGCATTGGAGTGCTCAGTAAAGTAAACAAGATGGCAGCTGGAAACCTTTCACCACTGATGACTGATTCTGAAGGGTCCCTCGGTGACTGGCAATCCCTCTATAGCCAGCTCTCTGTAACTCTAGCAGGTAGCTGGTCACTGTGAGCAATTGGAATGGAATGAAACACAGATTCTTCTCCATCACTGCAGACAGCAGCCCAAGGCCTTGTCTCTGCATACAGTTTTGCATGTGATTCAGGTACAGAACACTTTTCCTGGCAGAACAGATCCCCTGGCACCAGCATATGGGCAGCAGCTAATGACAACTGTCTTGTGGCTTCTTGAAGCTCTGAGCCCTATGACACAGGCTTCCAGACTAACACTCTCTGGGCACAGTCCAGTTCAGCTCCCGGGCTCTGTAATAGCAGTCGCAGAAAGTTCTCAGTCCTGTTTCCCCACTCACAGAACACTTCCTGGGCATATATTATACTGGCCAGGCACTCCTGTTCTCCAAGTGGTCCCTAGGCTTTCTAAATGGCTCCCAGAGCCCCCTAATAACATCCATATGGATCTCCTACTTCTCCCAGTGTGTCAGGGCCTGGACTTGAACCTGGGATCTCTACTGTGTCAGACAGTAACTCTTCTCACTGAGCTACCTGGGATGCTGGACAACACTCCGCCTGATCTATTGGACAATCCTGCCTTGTGCCTTGTGCCTTGTTTTCTGATGAACCTTGAACTCCTTGATCCTCCCATGAACTTACTGATTTAAGCCATGTCTCTACACTTCCTGTTTGTCATATTATTCTGCCTTCTCCAGCCAGTATCTCACTTTGTCTCTCCTGCTGCTGTCCATACCTTCACTACCGACCTTTGGCTTGTTCCTTGACTACGATTCTGCCTCATCCCAACCTGCTACCGCTTGTTACTGACCCTTGGCTTGTTTACTGACTACGCTTCTGCTAGATCCCTACCTGCCATATCAGTTACTGGATCCTGGCTTGCTCACTTCCTGGTGGGGTGATCCTGAGAACTGTGACCTGGTACTAACACGCAGCAAAATCCATCTCCACCATCAGGAGCTCTGGTGAATACCGGTTACTGCTTAGACCCCGCACCTCAGGTGAGCCTGCGTCATTTCCCACGGTGACCTGCTTGTTTACCTATCCTGTTGGTTGGTCTGCTGGTCTCTGAAGCTGACCTCACACCATGACACAGTGGTGGTGGAGCTGTAAACACCCCAATGCCAATCGGGAGCCAGCCTGGCTCTGGCAGCCAATCAGAAGTCCTCCTTCTCCAGGGCTGCTAGGGGCAGGCACTCTTCAGCTGTAGCAACAGCCAGTCAGGGCACAGTCTACTCCCTCTCTCCCTGCAGCCATTACAGGACATAATGTGTTTATTATGTCAGCTCTTGTCAGGGAGCGAGGAGCCAGACACACAAGGAGGTGCAATTAAAGGTAGGTTTATTGTAAAAAAACAAGACAGAGTTTATGCAAGTCCAACAGCAACAGCGGATGACTTGGTAGAACAGTATCCAGGAAGAATGGTCGCCAGGGTCAGAAGCCAGGAAGGATGATCGCCAGAGCCGGGGTTCAGAAGCCAGGAAGGATGATCGCCAGAGCCGGTGTTCAGAAGCCAGGAAGGATGATCGTCAGAGCCGGGGTTCAGAAGCCAGGAAGGATGATCGCCAGAGCCGGGGTTCAGAAGCCAGGAAGGAGTCTTGCCAAAACCGAGTCGGTATCCAGGAGAGCAATGAGAAACCAACAGGAGCTTGTTGCAATGCAACAGACAGGACACAAATGCAATGAGCAGCTACAGACAGCAGGCTTAAATGTGATAAGCCACCACCTCCTGGAGGAGGAGCCGCAGAGGCCTGAATGCATAAAGGATCCCACAATGCTTTGCAGACACCTAAGATGGATGCCAGCACATGGAGCAGCACAAACCCTGAGGAAAGGTAGGACCTTGACAGCTCTGCAGGGCAAAAATCTAAAGAGCTCAGCCCAGTGCTACACTCCCCTTAGCTGCTGGGTACAGATTGTATCTTGGCAGGCAAGCTCTGGCGGTGTTGGTACTGTGCTGCTTTTATACCTGTAGATGTGTTTCTGGCAGCGTCGGTACAGCACTCATTGTATTTTTGTGGAAATATTTTCTGGGTGTGTCAGTACAGCACTGTATATAATTTATTTTAGTGATTGGGGGGATGTTTAAAAAATGAGCTGCCTGGGGTGTCAGTCTAGGTACACCACCGGACCTGCGTGAGCTTAGAGTGGCTCTAGTTGGAACTTATGGAAGGTCAATGACTCCCTGCCCCATGTGACAGCATTGGCCAATCATCAAGAAACAGTGCTGTCATATGTGAGGAAGGGGAGTGGTGCTCCTCCATGCTGGGTGTACTAGGCATTTTCTTTTATCTCAACAGGAGCGATAGGTGAGAGAAGGAAAGGTAAGTATGTGCTGCTGAGTAGGAGGGTATTACAGCGCAGCCATTGCTTTGTCGTAGGCCTCATACACATAGGCACCTAAGGCCATATGGCCTAAAATTTGGTCATACATCCCCATCTGGGAGCACAGGTGCTGCATATACAGAGAAGGATATAAGTATTTGATCCCCTGCTGATTTTGAATGTTTGCCCACTCACAAAGAAATTATCAGTCTAAAAATCGAATGGTAGGTGTATTGTAACACTGAGAGACAGAATAGCAACAAAAAAAAATAAAAAAATGCATGTCTAACATTATTCACTGATTTGCATGTTCATGAGGGAA